AGCCCAGAAAGGCACTCTTCTGGTCCCACATTTATTCATTCAATAGAAATTTATTGAGCCACGCTATTTGCAAGGAATTGTACTAGGTGCTGCAATGCAAAGAGTATGACAAAACTGTCTGTAGATGTAGGATCTGAATTGGTCTTTGATAGTTTTCCTGATTTGAGAAAGACGTCTCTATTTGGTAATTTAGGGAGCTAAGAGAACGGACAAGGTCTGCTTATGTCCTTCTGGCAACCTAGGATAGTTTTGCCTTCCTCAAATCAGTTGTCAGTCAAAACAAATAAGGCACATTTTTAAAAAAAATTCCCCCCTTTAATTGACCAAAGTAAAGCCATGACATTTCATTTGGTAACCTGTTTAGAATTATAAAACTCATTTCATTTGGCCCAGCCCATACTGCCCAGGACAAAACTTTCAGACAATTCTAATGCCATCCAGCTTTGTTCTTACAAACTGCATATTAAAAAAAAAAAAAAAAAAAAAATCTTCAACGTCCTAAATGTGATGTGCCCAGTGCGAAGCATATCAGAGCTGGACGTGACATTTATGTCCTTGACAAGCCTCGATTATCCAGGTCCTTTACCTGCAACATAAAGATGTCAGTTTAATATTTACAATCAGATCAACTTTGGAGAAATTTTCTACTAAAATGGATTCACCCAGAGTGGGTAGGATTATGTTGGGTTCTACAGCCTGGTTTAGGGCTGTGAATAAACAAGCACTGATTAGAGACTAGATTCTCTCTGCTTAGCCTTTTGGAATACCTCTGGGAGGAGCAATATTACTGATCTACCCTCCACATAGATCAAGGGTTCTCAATCTTTTCTTACATGAGAGATATACTCCTATGTGGTTCTATGTGACTCTATATACCTTAAGTTCTTCAGAGAGAGAAGAAAATGTAGTTAAATACAAACATGTGAACTTTTTCTCTATTTCCTGCACTCTCCCCACCCGTGAGCCTGATAATCACAGAAACTGGTTGAGTCAAGCCCCAGGTGGAAAAATATTACTGCAACAACTGCCAAAATGACGGCAGACTGAGACCATCTACTCTCTAAGAACAATCTAAAATAAAAAGTAAAATTTTCAGTGAGTTTGCAAGCTACTTTTCAAACACAGGTGTCATGAGAAATTTCCCTACTTGAGAAATATGTGGCCCATTTTATAAGCACTGAAACCAATCTGCAAAATAAAAGTTGCTTTTTGAGACATATAGCATCTGCTTACCTTGTATATCCTGACCAGCCAATGTTCTGTGGTATATGCTTCCTCCAGGACATCAAGCTCAAAGTCTTTATTCCCAATCTCAGCATTTCGGACACGGTCAAAGCCTGGAGGACGCTCTAGAGAGGGATGAAAAAGAACACACTTCTTTCTACAGTGCTAATTTCCTATAGAGACAGTATATGGATTCAGTACACCATCTACTAATTGAATGATTATTCCTCAGCCTGCAATTTGGTGAGAGTAGAGCCCGCAAAAAAGAGCATCAGGTAGTAAGGGCAAATCAAGTGTTACTCTAACTTAAGTACCAGGCAAGATGATGCTTGCCAATGTCTTATCTCTAATCAGACAGACATAGGGAACCGACTTCCAAGGCCCTCTATTCCTGAGGATTGTCATCCACAGCCTCTAACACATTAGCAACCCTTGCATGGATCAGAGAAAGAAGCCTACCAGAAGTCAAAGACCTGCATTCATGTCAGAAATTCTCCCTAGTGCAGAACCAAGAAATTGAAGTCAGAAGGAGAGACTTAACCTAATCAAATGACTCTCAATATAATCATCTGAAGATATGAAAAGTCACTTTCTCACCCTTTTGTTCCTGTCTTCACTATAATACCCTTAAGGACAATAAAAAGTAATGGTCAAAAGCACAGAATTTGGAGCCAGTCTTTGTCAGTTTGAATCCTGACTTTGCCATTAGTTGTGTGACACTGGACAGTTAAATAACCTATTTGTACCTCAGTTTCCTCATACTTAAAATAACAGGCTGGGTGCGGTGGCTCACGCCTGTAATCCCAGCACTTTGGGAGGCTGAGATGGGTGGATGACTTGAGGTCAGGAGTTCGAGACCAGCCTGGTCAACATGGTGAAACCCCGTCTCTACTAAAAATGCAAAAAAAAAAAAAAAATTAGCTGGGGGTGGTGGAGCACACCTGTAATTTGTAATTCTAGCTACTTGGGAGGCTGAGGCAGGAGAATCGCTTGAACCTGGGAGGTGGAGGCTGCAGTGAGCCAAGATCGTGCCACTGCACTCCAGCCTGGGTGACAGAACAAGACTTAATATCAAAAAAAAAAGAAAACAAAAATAACAATAGCTAGGTGCAATAGCTCATGTCTGTAATCCCAGTATTTCGGGAGGCCATGATAAGAGGATTGCTTGAGCTCAGGAGTTCCAGACCAGCCCAGGCAACATAGTGGGACCGCATCTCTACAAAAAGTTTAAAAACAGCCAGGCATTGTGGTGTGCACCTTAGTCCCAGCTACTCAGAGGCTGAAGCAGGAGGACTCCTTGAGCCTAGGAAATCAAGGCTGCAGTGAGCCATGATTGCACCACTGCATTCCAGCCTGGGTGTCAGAGCAAAAACCCTATCTCAAAAAAATATACAAACAATAAAGATAATACAACAATAATATCAGTATATGCCTTTTGGGCTGCTGTGAGGATTAAATGAGTTAACAGACACAAAGCACTTACCAGTGCTTGGCATATGGAAAATACTGTGTATTAGTAATCACTATTATTACTATTGTTAATATTATTATGAATCACTCACTGGCTTCTGTGTAAACCTGTCCAAAGCGGTAGTAACACATCTTGTACATGAGGCAGTTGAGCAGCACTGGAGAACCTTCACGGTCCACACGGAACTCCCCAGTTGGAGTATAATAGTCATTCTCCTTAATATGTTTGCCTGTATCTGTGCTCCCTCCAATCCGGACCATCCAAAGAAACTTGTTGATATCTAGGAGGAAAAAAAAAAAAAAAAAAGAACTGCTGCATTACAAAGGTTGCTGGAGTTACAGCAGGTTAGTATTTCTAAGAAAATTCCTCAACATTTTTAAAATGGGGATTGGTATCATTTACCTCTAATTTATAAAAATAGTGAGGACAACATATGAGCAACACATTTTTCATCAAAATATACAACTTTTCTGAGAAATGATTATACTCCTGAAATCCTATGCTACTAGTCCAGACTTAAGCCACAGTTGAATTTGGTCCTATAGATTAGCTAGGGCTAGGCTATCAAATGTAGTAGCAATTAGCTACATATAGCTGCTGAGCAGCTGAAATGTGGCTAGTCCAAATTAAGATGTACTGTAAGTATAAAATACACACAAGGTAAGTATAAAAAACACACTAGATTTTGAAAAGTTAGTAAAAAAACAAACCCTAAAAGGGGGTATACTGGTTATATATTAAATAATAATGTTTTGATATGAATATTCAGTTAAATAAAATTATTAAAATTACTTTCACCTGCTTATTTATACTTATTTTGATATAACTAACATAAAGCTTAAAATGATAACGTGGTTCTCATTATTTCTATCAGACAGTGGGCAGGACTGATCTAAAGAGTAGTAGCTTTACCAAAAAGGTAGACAAGACATGAATGTTCTCCTTCTTGACCAACAGTTGCCAAGTTATGGACCTCCAAAGCATGTATATGAGAAGTCAACATTTCTGTGTCAAACACACTCCCATGCTTGATAAATACTGATACTACCATCAACTCATGATATCTCTTTTAGGGTTCATCATTCACTGTATTGCTTGCATAGGCTTTAGGGAAATCAGTTGCTACATGTTTCACTGGATGGTTAGTATTAAAAATATTTCTAACCCACACACACAAAAAAAATAAGATTCCTATTGTACTACTGCAAAGAGTTCTAGGGGATATCACAGTGGTTAAGAACAGACTCTGGATCCAAACTGCCTGAGTTTGAATTCCAGCACTGCCAATTCTAGCTAGGTGACCTTGAGCAAGTTACTTAACCTCTCTGTGCTTCAGTTTTCTCATCTGTCAAATTAGAAAAATAAGAGTATCTATAACAATAGGGCTGTTATTATGAGTAACAACACGTAAAGCATTTAATAAGTTGTTTGTCACATGGTAAACATCCAATGAATATTACTGTCTTCGTTCAGTGAATGTATTCTTACCTTCATCTTACAAATGGAAAAACAGGCACAGAGACTTGCCTAGATCATAGCGTCAGAAATAGGAACAAAAATAAACCCCCAGAACCTCAGCTCAACTATCACAGAGCAATAGGATTGTAGCCGCCTGGCAGGTATGTCTGAAACAAAAACCTCACAAGCTCTATGAATGGAAGAGTGAAAATAATAGGAATGGCTGGGTGTGATGGCTCACACCTGTAATCCTAGCACTGTGGGAGGCTGGGGTGGGTGGATCGTTTACGCACAGGAGTTCAAGACCAGCCTGGGCAAAGTGGCGAAACGCAATCTCTACAAAAAGTACAAAAATTGGCCGGGCGTGGTGGTGTGTGCCTGTGGTCCCATCCACTCAGGAGGCTGAGGTGGGAAGATCACTTGAGCATGGGAAGCAGAGGCTGCAGTGAGCAGAGATTGTGCCACTGAATTCCAGCCTGGGTGACAAAGTGAAACCCTGTCTCAAAAATAATGATGATGATGACAGGAACTGCATCAAGGAAGCCCATTGCTCAAAAGATATGGTTGTTTTCAAAAAATAAGTTAGGTCAGGCCCAACTTTTTATTTTTATTATACCTCTCAAATGTTACAGAACTCCTATTAGTAAAGCCCAATTAATAATTTGACCTTGAAAAATAAATTCAGTGGAACAAATT